TTTATGTATATGAATGTATTTCTTGAATGTGCATAAGTGCACCCGTGTCATGCAATACCCACAGAGGTCAGAAGATGGCATAAGATCCCCTGGAATTGGAGTTAAGAACAGTTGTTAGCTGACAAGTGGGTGCTGGGAACTGAACCCATGTCCTCTGCAAGAGCAGCTAGTACTCTTAAGCTGAGCCATCTCTCCAGTCCCCCTTATTAGATTTTTAACACCAGTCTTTAAACATTGGAGGAGGAAATAAAGATATCTTGATGGTTGGAGAAAAAAAATGTGATAAATATGAGCATGGAAATTTAAAAATAAAACTAAAAATGGGAAAGTACCAAGCTAAACCTCTGGTCTGGTTCCTTTCCATATACAATGGAGGGATGTTCACATTGTCAGGCATCAAGTGCTTACCAGGTGAAGGAATCCTGCGGCTGTGAACCAGGTGCTCAAAAGTATTGATAACAACTTGGAAAGCTTCACTGAATTACTAGAGGGAAAAGAACAAAGAACTGTCAGGTCTCCCCAGGCAGCTTCTGACACAACAGACACACATCATCCTCTAAGTTCCAGCCTTCTGTTAACAATGTGGTCCATATCCTGGAAGGAACAGCATGACTGGGGGCTCTGCCCTCTCTTACCAGTCTGTATTGTTACAGATCCTTCACTCCATCTATATACACATTAAGAGTCTGAAAAGCACAGCTCTAAAACTCACCCAGTCTCACATACTTCAAACATTATGAATTTTGCTGTGTCAACCACTAGTCTGGTATTATATAGCTGTTAAATTCATGTAGCATGTTGATCAACATCAGATAAAAATTTATTAGATTATCACTTTGTCTAAAGTGACAGTACAAAATGCCAGAAGTCCATGTGTGGGTAAAATTAAGTACTGAGTAGATCAAAGAAAAGTAATGTCATACTGCTGTATCCATCACAGGATCTTTGAGGGAGAAGTATCAAAGACACTTAAATCTGTTCAAAACAGCTCTGAAGGGGCTAGAAAGACGGTTCAGTGGTTAAGCACACTGACTGCTCGTTTAGAGCACTCAGGTTCAGTTTCCAGCACCTGTATGACAGTTAACAACCATCCTTAACTCCAGGTCCAAGGGATTTGACACCATCTTCTGCCTTCTTGGGGCATTGCAGGCACATGGTTCACTTGTATACATGCCGGCAAAACACTCAAACAAAATAAAATTATATCAAGAGAATTTTTTTAAGAAAAAAAAGAAGGGGCTGGAGAGATGGTTCAACAGTTAAGAGTACTTAAGAGCCAGTTTCCTACATATACATGTATGTATATAATGATTTCTGATTAGTCTCTCCCGTATTGCCTTCTCCCTTCCATTCCTGTAAACCCTCCAACCTCATCCTTACCAGTCCCTTTCCCAGATTCATGACTTTTAGTTTTATTTTGTAACACATTCAGTTTATCCAAGGCCATCTATCTGAGCATTGAATTAGAACTAACTGTTGGAGCCTGGTAAGGTCACCACTGGGTATACAACTATGAGAATGACTTCTGGGAGCCTTTGGCTACAAACAGAATCTTACTCTGGGTATGGTGGCACATACCTTTAATCCTAGCACTTGGGAGGCAGAGGCAGGCAGATCTCTGAGTTCAAGGCTAGCCTGGTCTACATAGCAAGTTCCTGGCCAACTGGGGCTATAGGGAGACCCTGTCTCAAGAAGACCCCCCCCAAAAAAATGGAATCTTGGGGCTGGAGAGATGGCTCAGCAGTTAAGAACACTGGATGTTCTTGCAGAATACCCAGGTTCAAATCCCAGCACACACATAGCAGCTAACAACTGTCTGTAACTCCATTCCCAGGGGATCTGACAGCCTCTTCTGACCTTCGAGGACACTTCACAACATGGGTGCACTTACCTACATGCAGGTAATACATGCATACACATAAAATAAAAATAATAAATAAAATTTTTAAAAAAATAGAATCTTGCCTAACCTTGTAAGCAAAGTTAATCTTGTTTTGAGGTCATTTAACACTATTTTGGCTTGTTTATAATGTAAACAAGCTTGCTGGGCCTTGGGCTCCTCTTGTAACCTAAAGATAAAGTTTTTAAAAAATATTTTATTATTTTTATGTGTATGCGTGTATTGCCTGCATATAGGTAAGTGCACCCATGTTGTACAATACCCTCGGAGGAGAGAAGAGGCTGTTGGATCCTCTGGAACTGGACTTACGGACAGTTGTTAGCTGCAATGTGGGTGCTGGGATTCAAATCCAGGTCTTCTGCAAGAACATTTGGTGTTCTTAACCACTGAGGCATCTCTCCGGCCCCTAAAGATATAGTTTTAATCCCTCATGATCCTTCCTTACTCCTGACTTAGAATAATGTGTGTGTGTGTGTGTGTGTGTTGTGAAAATATCAAGCACTGAATGCACCAAATATTGTTGAAAGCAACAAATTATCCTGTTTGTGTTCTAAGCAACAGGTAGGATTAAATTGACATCTATATATCTGTTTGGGGTTGTATGTGCCATTCTGGGTTAGTAGGGGTCAGAAGGGGCAAAAACAGTCTTCTGATAAAACAAGTTCCTCTTTTCCCATGTGATGCTGGGTGTACTATTTCAACAAGAGACAGAAAGTCCTTCTGTTCAAGAGCACAGTTCCAAGACAAATCAGAAGGAACAAGTGCTCAGAACACATTGGCCCACTCTAGATGCCAGTCAGTGTCAAAATTCAGGCTGTCTTTATTCAGGCATCACTATGTGGTGGCTCTCTGCTGCACACAGCTGAAGGCAATGACTGCACCTCTCCCCGAAGCTATCAGTACCAATGATTCAGCTGTGAGGGGTAGGGCTCCCTGAGCCCTTTCCTCCAGCCATGCTTCCTGTTCTTGTGCAGACCCAGTGTAGGCATCCACAGTTGCTGTAGCTCACGGTTGCAATGGCTGTGTCTTGCCCAACAGATAGCATTTCACCATCCTTCCCCTACCCTCTGTGTCTTACATTCTTTCCACTCCCTCTTCCACAGGGTTGCCTGAGCCTCAGAGGGGATGGAATAAATGTCTTCTTTGGGGCTGAGAACTCATATGCCAGGTATTCTCAGCACCTTGTATAGCCATGAGTCTCTGCACTGATTACTGGAGAGAGACTTCTCTAAGGCTGAAAGCATCATTTGCCTATGGGTATAAACATAGGTATTTAGAGGGCAGATCGATGCTATGAGATTTAGCTGAACAACAGTATTCAGCCCCCCCACACACACACACTTTGTACCCATGATCTCCTCAGTCATGGGTTTTTGGCCAGGTTTCTAGTACCAGGTACGGATTCCTATGGAAAGCTGAGAGTAGTTACCCCATGACAGCAGTGCCATTATTGCACAAGTAGGCACATCTTGCCTGGCAGGCTGATATTGTAGTTCATAGGGTTCACAACTAGGTAAGACCATTGATGCCTTTTCTACCACCAGAGCTTGCTTAGCACCTTCCAACTATGAATGCTAGTTAGAAGGGAGAAAGCTTTCAGCTCAGTTTCAGCTTGGTTTCTCTAATACCATGCAACCAAGAGGTGTGATGAATTCAGCAATAGACTCCTATCTATTTCTGCAACCAAGAGGAAGGGCAAGGGCCTCTATTGTTTTGGGGTCTCTCTGACCAAGAACCCTGTAGGAGGTATCCAACCCCTGGTGCTGGGATTTTGTTCAGCAATCCATGACTTCTAGGAGCTTTCTCCAGCCCTGCAGAGAGGTGATTCTTAGCAACAAATGTGTAGAACCAAAGCCTCTGTATTGGCTTTTTTGTTTGGTTTTGTTTCGATATTTTCATTTTGATAGATAAAAAGTAGTCGTATGATGAATAGGGTTGACCAGGAGAAAGCCAAGTTTATTAGCAAAGGAACACATGGGACAGATTCCCTTCCAGGCAGGGAAAATGTCTGCTCCAGGTCGTGAGCTGAGGTCTTTTAAGGGGGAGGCTTCTGTTTCCTGTAGAAGGTGGAAAGTTGTATTTTTTTTTAAGTTGGGTGGTGGGGGGAGTGGAGAGCAGGACTGTTACAACCTGTTCTCTTTAGAGATCAAAGGGGAAGCCTGCTGTGTTAGCCAAACAGTGAAAAGTCTGCTTCTCTTGACTTCAAAGACCAAGGTGCTTATCAGCTCAGATCCCTTTTCTCAGGAGCTTGAGAAGTCCTTGAGACTCTGTTGGTGAGGGGGCGGGGCTATCTGAACCTTAACACATTTTTGTTTTGGATAGAAAGGATCAGGAACTAAAACTGAAGTGGACTTTTACACTGTAGCTTTGCAAAACAAGGAATAGGTAATCTCTTTAAAATGACTGCAGAGGACTGGAGAGATGGCTCAGTGGTTAAGAGCACTGGCTGCTCTAGCAAAGTACCTGTGTTGGGCTCCAGCACCCACATGGCAGCTAACAACGGTCCATACCTCCAGTTCCAGGGGATCCGACGCCCTCCTCTGACCTCCACAGGCATTGCATGATAGGGGTGCACTTACATACATGCAGGCAATACATGCATACACACAAAAAAGTGAAAAATAATTAAAACTTAAATAAAATGACTGCAAAGTTTCCAGCTAGTGTGTTGAATACTCCAGTGAGAGAAAGTGATGGCTGCTGAGGGATTTCACAATTTTCACACTGAAATTCTGGTGGGACACAAGTGGAGCATGAGGATCAGTTAATCCAAACTACCAAGCACTAGCAATTACCTGGTCTTCAGGACTTTTAGAATGTGTAAGATTTGGGGGAGTTCTAGCAACCGCAGAGCTCTTAGAAACCTTAAACCTGCAAAGCAGTGAAGAGAACAAAGTTACCATAAGAGGAGATTCTCTCCAGGGAGTAGCCCAAGATATAACGTAATTGGGAAGCATGCATGGTTTATTCTCCTGAAATAGTTAAAAGCAGTACTCTGTAACGTTATAGGTTAAAGGACTTGGGCTGAAGTTCAGACTCTGGTCCTGAAACTTACTAGCTACTGTTACCTAAGGTAACCCACTTGACTTTGATAGTTCCTCATCCATAAAATAGGAATTATAATAGAACCTTATAGCATTGTAGAGCTAATCTCAAGCATGTAGAAACATATCTTGTATTCGACCTGCACAATTAATTCACTATTCACTCTAACTCTTTTGAATTTATAGAAAATTTTACATAAGCCAATTAAACTCCTAATTATTCAACTTCTCAATGTTACTAAGATGCTTTACTTTGTGTAGTTTGCTAACAACGATAGAAATAGAATTGGTGCTGGGTGTGGTGGTGCACCTCTTTAATCCCAGCACTCCGGAGGCAGAGGCAGGTGGATCTCTGTGAGTGCAAGGCCAGCCTGTTCTACATAGTGAATTCCAGGTCAGCTGGGGCTACAGGGAGACCTTGTCTCAAAAAAGATCAAAAGCAAAAAAACAGAAATTGGCATGAATTTTATAGATAATAAACAAAAACATAAAATTTCATACAAATTGATTTTAAAAAATACATATTGGGGCTAGGGAGATGACTCAGCAGTTAAGAACACTGGTTGTTCTTGTGGAAGACCTGGGTTAGAATCCCAGCACCCACATGGCAGCTAACAACTGTCCATAACTCCAGTCCCAGGGGATCTAACAGCCTCTTCTGACCTCCTCGTGCATTGTACAACATGGGTGCACTTACCTACATGCAGGCAATACAAATAAAATAATTTTTATTTAAAAATAAAGATAATAAAATTTTAAAAAATACATACTGTCAGTATGCCCAATAAACAATTCCAAGGACATGTTACAGCATGTCTGGGTATGATGACCAGATTTGAGAAACCAGGGAGGCTGTTCTTTGAGTCCATATGGAATCTCAGCATGAAGGCCCCATGGGCTGCTGGAGCCTTGCTCCCTAGGTTGTGGATACAGTTGTTCCATCAAAAACTGTGGTACACCTGCTGTGCAGCATGTGCATTGCTACATGCTAAGGTCAAGAAATGGTTTCCAGAAACAGTACAAAACCACACAATTAAGGGGCAGTGAGGCATTTAAAAAGGAAAGATAAATACATACAACTGAATGTTGAGGGGCTTTTTTGGTGGAAAAAATTGCTACTGATTCCTGTAGCACACTTACTTAGCCAATTACTCCTCAAATAATATGATATAAAGGTTGGTGGGATGGTGAAGATGTCTACAGTTGAATTCATCTCCAACCAGAATTTGATCTTGTCATGTCATCAGCCGCCCAAAACTATGAAATAAAAACAAAACACCAAATTCGATTACCCTTGGGAATTTTAAGAACATGAAAGATGGCGTTGTTCAGCAGTGTTCATATTATTTTATACATATACAAGAACACACATTTACACAAATATATGTGTATACTTACTACATAAAGAGATTGTACCTTTTTTTTCTTGTCTTTTTGAGACAGAGTCTCTCTGTAGCCCCCGCTGGCCCAGAACTCAATATGTAGACCAGGCTGGCTTTGAACTCACAGAGATCTGCCTGCCTCTGCCTCCTAAATGCTGGGATTAAAGGCACGTGCCACCACACCTGGCTTCAAGAGTTTGTACCTTTAATAGGTGTTCAGTCAATGAACATATAGTTGTTTTACTTAGGAAATCCTCTCACACTACAGAATAAACACTTTAAGCTTTCTGCTGTTCCTAGAGCTTTCTGATATATTTAAACAAGATGTAATTCATTTATATATTTATATTTTTATGTTTATGTGTATATCATATACATAAAACCTATTATTTATGAACAGTAAAAATTCATGATTTAGGTTGGTCTTCAATTAAAAAAGATACAGCTTACAAGAAGTTTGGCTAGCCGTGGCCTGTATTTCTGAGTTTCCTAATTTAGATTAAGTAAGCTAAATTTGGGGGCTGGAAAATTGACTTAGCGATTAAGAGCACTGACTGCTCTTGCAGAGGACCTGGGTTCGATTCCCAGCACCCACACGGTGGCTAACAACTATCCAGAGGATCTGACACCCTCTTCTACTTCTCTTGGCATTGCATGACACGGGTGCACTCACATACATGCAAGCAATACACCCATACACATAAAAGGAAAAAAAAAAAAGCCAGGTGTGGTGGTGCACGCCTGTAGTCCCAGCACTTGGGAGGCAGAGGCAGGGGGGTCTCTGTGGGGTCAAGGCCAACCCGGGCTACCTAATGAGTTCTAGGGCAGCTGGGGCTACACGGGGAACCTGTCTTTTTTAAAAAAAGAAAAAACAAAACAAAAAAAACTAAAGTGGGGCTGGAGAGATGGTTCAGTGGTTAAGAGCACATACTGCTCTTCCAGAGGACCTGAGTTTGGTTCCCAGCACCCTCATCAGATAGCTCACAACTACTTGTAACTGCAACACCACAAGATCCAACAGCCTCTTCTGGACTCTGTGGGCATTTGCATTCACATATGTACATACAACACACACACACACACACACACAAACACACACACACACAAACACAAAATTTAAAAAAAAATCTTTTAAAAAAGAAACCTAAATTTCTAGTAAGGAATGTTTGTTACTATTAAAAAAAATCTTGAAGGATGGTGCTATCAGAGTAAGTTATAAAGGAAGGTCATAGAAATACATATTATATATATGAAATATTTTGCTTATATATAGCATATATGTATGCATGTACGTAGTCTCCTCTAAGCATGGAGTGCATAAATATATCAAAATTTTAATTTAGGATGAGTACTTACTAAATGTCTGTGGGATAAGAAAGTTAGTAAGTGAGTGTAACAAAAATACAAAAAGTTAGATGGCTATGCCGGGCATGGTGGTACACACCTTTAGTCCCAGCACTTGGGAGACAGAGGCAGGTGGATCTTCTGTGAGTTCAAGGCCAGCCTGGTCTACATAGTGAGTTCCAAGCCCCAGCACTAGGGAGGGGGGCAGAGGCAGGGGAATCCCTGTGAGTTCAAGGCCAGCTGGGTCTACATAGTGAGTTCCAGGACAGCTGGGGCTACGGGGAGGTGCCGTCTCAAAAAAAAAAAAAAAAAAAAAAAAAAAAAAAAAAAAAGTTAGATGGCTTTTCCCAGTGGAAGGCTGGAGCCACTGAGGATGGCACTGTGACATGGCACTATGACAGGGTGATGGTGCTTAGTAAAGGAATCATTTTTGTTGTGCTGGAATTTTGGATACTGTCAAGCACAGGGGAAAAGGGTTACAGGTCTCCTTAAATATTTAGCACCTTTCCACACAGGCTCTTTAGGGCCTGAGGGCCCAGGAAGGTTGTATAACTGAGGGTCACTCAGATCTTTATATTGCTCGTTTTTGTACGTAGATGTTTATTATTACTTTACTTGAGTACTTACCCTCAACCCAAAATAGAAACTAAAGAAAACATTGAAACTCAAATCAATAGGAACGATTTTGTCTTCATACGAACAACACTGTCCAACGGGGCTGGAAAAGAAATAGGGACAGTTTGTAAGGGTTTTAAAACCACATCTAGAAAAGGCAAATAAAGGGAGGAATAAGAATTTACATATTCAACATGCATGGTCCATTCAAGACATGTTCACAACCTGCAGGAAATTACCTTCCTCCTGGGAGTGGAATGTGAAAGAAGCCCCTGGACCATACATGGTGCTGGAAACAGGAGGAAAACTCCCCTTTGCTTATAGAGGTATGTATTGATTCAATTTCAGATGAGATTGGGCACTTTCAGTGGTATGGCCATAGACATAGTGGTTCAATTTCAATTCTATCAGTAGGGATTTGGTCATGGAGATTACATAGCTCTCCATGGTTAGAAAAACAATCTAACTAGTCAAGATTTTTTAGCTTCTCTACCCTTTTGAGAGTGTGCTACTCTAGATCAAATGTATGAGTTTGAACCAAATTCAAAAGAAAATTGCCTAAAAGATGTGTTAGCAATTTACTATCAATGTCCTAGTTTCTTTAAAGTGACTTGGCTTTTGTGGCCCTGAAAAATCTTAATTTTACCTCATCTGGGCACTTGATATAATTCCCAGAGCTTGGCATGAAGTTCAAATTAGAATGGTTTTCATTTGAAACTGTCCTATCCTTGAAGTATAAGAAGGGAACACAGCTGGGCATGGTGGCGCACGCCTTTAATCCCAGTACTCGGGAGGTAGAGGCATGCAGATCTCTGCCAGTTCAAGGCCAGCCTGGTCTACATAGTAAGTTCCAGGCCAGCTGAGGCTACAGGAAGACTCTGTCTCAAAAAAAGACCGAAAAAACAGAAAACAACAACAAAAGAAGGGACCCCCTTAGAGAAGAAATCCAAGATGAGGCCTCAAAAACAAAGATCTCTGAGGCCTGAGAGAAGCTTTGAAACTCCTCCAGAACCTCAGCTTCAACACCTGACCGAATCAACAGCTTCATAAGTAGGCGGTGTGAGAAAATGGCAGTTGGGAGTCTGGAGTCCCAGAAGCTCTGAACTGCATCTGTCACACCTCATCCCTCCGGCAGTGGAGGTGGCAGATTCAGGACACACTGCGTTAGCTGCAGGAGTGGAGTCAGCGCTTATGGGGCAAATGCACACTTGTCATTTTGATGAGCATGTGAGTGCGCTCGTGTGTATGTGCATGTGTGTGTGCATATGTGCGCATGTGTGTATGTGTGCATGTGTGTGTGCAAAGGTATATTTAACATTCCCCGAAGAGAAAATTCTGAGTGGCTGAGTAAGTTCTGATAAAGCAGACAGAAATGGCTAGGGATTTTACTCACTCTGTGCTGAAATAGATTACAAGAGACCCGATACTTAGTACGAAGTCAAGGATCACCTAGAAACAGAAACATGGGGACAAAGGGGCAGGTTTATTTACTGACATGGAAGAAGGAAACCCACAAAGTTGGGTTTTCTTTTTAAATTAAATACATATTATTGTATTTGTTACTATGGACAGCAAGAGACGAAGGAGAGGTGTTTTCTCCCTTACCTTAGATGTGTGACACTAATTCACATTCACTTTTGCTAGTATTCATACATTTGTTCAAGGTAAGTGCACTTGATTAAACCAACATGTACTCATTGTACTTACCTAACTTTATTTTTTAATTAATTTTTTTGAATTATTTTTATCTTATGTATATGAGCATTTTGCCCGCATGTATGTAAGTGCACCCGTGCTGTTCAATGCCCACAGAGGCCAGAAGAGGATGTCAGATCCCCTGGCACTGGAGTAAAGGATAGTTATTGCCACCATGTGGGTTCTGGAAACTGAACCCAGGTCCTCTATGAAAGCACCCAGTGCTCTTATGCCCTGAGCCTTCTCTCCCTCCCCTGACTTACCTAAATAACTTCTACTCACTTAAGGACAGGCAAGCTGCCCTTTCTGCTTCTCCCAAGGCTCATCACACAATCACCGTTTAGTATGCACTTCATCTCGTGCTACAAAAGTGGGCCACTAAACAGCAATCCCAGACTTGATTGCCCTGATAGAGGAAACAGTCCTACACATGTCCACCCTAAAGGAGAGTCAGAACATTCCCCAGGAATGTTTCTTCTCATTACAACTGAGAAGAAAACAGCTGATTTATTATTATTTATTATTTTTATTTTATGTGTATGACTGTATTGCCTGCATGTATGTGAGTGCACCCATGTCATGCAATACCACGGAGGTCAGAAGAGGGCTTTGGATTCCCCTGGAACTGGAGTTAAGGACGATTTGTAGTGACCATGTGGGTGCTGGGAATCGAACCGGGTCCTCTGAAAGAGCAGTCAGTGCTCTTAACTGCTGAGCCATCACTCTAGCCCCAAAACGCTGATTTTAACGTCAGTTACCCGGTCTGTAAACACGCCTCACTAGTGGAACATGCTCACAAGTTGCCCATTTAAACCCCTCATGGAATGGGATAAAATCTTCAGCAGCCCCTTAGTGATTTTTCAGGTTAGCTTTAAATCATTAAGCATTCTTCTGGTTATTTCTAAGTTCCAAACCATCGGATTTTCAATATCTTCAGTGCAATGTAATTCCAATGATCACACTCAGAATTTTATTCACAGTGAAACTTTCACTCCCTTCTAACTCAGATGTCACCTGGGTAGGCCTCTTATATTGGCAAAGAACATTGGTTTCTTTTCTCTTAACCATTTGGGGGGTATTCTTTAGTTTTCCATTGGCTAGGCTGCTTGTGACCCCTCTAGAGCTGTAGATCATAGTGAAGAACAGGGATGTTAGAGCAATCTTACCTTACAGGTGTTAGATCAGGACATCCTCACCCTGGAGCTCTTTGGGCATGTCAGGTGCTTAGTGTTTACTCTTGTGTTCTGAAGTTCCAGGGGGTGAGAGGAGCACAGTTATGTTTACTATTCCACATCATTTTACAGAAACTTGAAATCCAGAGCCAAGTTACCCCGGGCACCAACCTCTGCATCTGACCTAACACCCTTTTGACTCAAGTCAAAGCTTTTGAATGTATTCACTTAACACATAAGTAGCTTTCACCAACTAAAAGCTAAGATGTCATCAGATATAACCCTGAAGCAAAGATTTCTCCACTTTGCTATGACATGCCTACCTGATGTCCCTACCAATGTACTTGGAAAATGCCTTGACTTATGACTCTCTTTTGTTCTGTGACAACCAAAGTTCATGTAGGGCCAGGAAGATAAAGGCACCTGCTGGCAAATGTGATGATCTGAGTTTGAACCCCAAGACCCACATGGTGGGACGAGAGAACTGACTCCCAGGAGTTGTGTACACAGCCAGACAGATACACACACACACACACACACACACACACACACACACACACACACACACTAAATAATTTTTTTGTCTTTCTGAGATAGGGTCTCTTTGTAGCCCCAGCTGACCTGGAACTCGCTATGTAGACCAGGCTGGCCTGGAACTCACAAAGATCCACTTACCTCTGCCTCCCAAGTGATGGGATTAAAGGCATGTGCCACTGCATAAATTTTTTAAATGTAATTTAGTTTTTTAAAGTTCATGTAATTCCTTCCATGATGAAGCATGTCATTCAGGACAACATGAATCCATATCCTAGACCATAATGTTCATATTTGGCTCAGAACACACTCTTACTTCCCTTTAGCTAAGAGCTGTGTTTCGTATCAACAGTCTCACAGATGGTTTCATCACTCTTCGGAGAGCTCAGTCAACTTCACTCAAATTCTTCTTTTGGGAACTCTCTGTTCAGCTCCTTAGCCCATCTTTTAATTGTGTTACTTCTTGTCTTGATTCTGTTTTTTGAGTTTGTTATGTATTCTGGATATTAAACCTCTGTCAGATGTGTCACTAGTGAAGATTTTCTCCCATTCTGTGGGTTTTCTCTTCACTTCCCTGGTTGCCTCCTTTGAGGTACAGAAGCTTTTTAGTTTAATGAGGTCCCATTTGTTAGTTCTTGCCCTTGTTTCCTGAGCAATTGATATATGGTTTAAAAAATCCTTTCCTACACCTATATCTTGTAGACTTTGCCATAGTTTTCTTCTAACAGTTTCGGAGTTTCAGGCTTTACATTGAGGTCTTGATCCATTTGGAATTGACTTTTGTGCAACGTGAAAGATAGGGGTTTCATTTTATTCATCTACAGGTGGAGATCCAGTTTGGCCAGCACAGTTTGCTGAACATACTATCTTCCCTCCAGTGAATATTCTTTGCCCCTTTGTCAAATATCAGGTGGCTGAAATTGTATTTACTCATATTTGGGTCTTCAATTTTGTTCCATTGAGCTATGGGTCTACTTTTGTGCCAGTACCATGTTGTTTTTATAACTATAGCTCTGTAATACAGTTTAATATCTGGTATAGTAATCT